AATTATTTTTAAACAGAAAAAACACCACCTGCATTCGATAATGGGTTAAGTAATAGATACTTACCCTTTTGTATTGAATATGGGATGTTAACAAAATTAATAGCAGTCAGTCCAGACCCATTGAAATGATTGAAGCAAATAAAATACGTAAAATTTCCTTCGTTAGATAAAACTGCTACAGACTTAACGGGACCTGTGAGCCAACAATTAGCTCCCGACTCATTTTTCTGATTAGGAGACATGAAAACCAACTTCCATTTTTTTCAAGGTCTTCTATTTCAAAATCATCAATTTATGGGGGAAGAGACAAAACCATTTTTGAAAGGAAATCTTTATAAGTACAGAGCGAAAAAAACGGCTATAGTTTTTAACAAGAGACATAGTTTGATGCTACACTGGTTTGCAGATTTAATGAATGATTGAATGAATTTAATGTCTGATTGTCCACCTGGTTGCCGTGTGAACTTTAATATAGTTTTTAACAAGTTGGATATTTCAAACGAAGAAGATTTTTGTCATCAACTCTATATTTTTTTACTGTCATTACAACTCCATAGCGGATTAAATGTGAACCTCAAAAATTGAGGTTGTTAAGTATTCATATATTCAGGCTATTGTTCTTTCTCATTACTTATTCATTCCGATGAGTTTGCCGACATGCCGGCATGCTTCCGAAGATCGTGAAGAACGCAACTTCTTTGATGTAGGTGAGATATTTTTCTTTTGTTAACAGATGAACGGAGAGAAATTTACAACAATTGCGTTGTCCGATTTGCTGACAACTTTCGCTTTTGTCCAAATTCCTAACTGATCGACAGCTTCGACAGAATCGCCAACACTAAACTCCATCGCGACAATAAACAACACGGTCAGATCACAACAAGTTCATTCGAACAAGACGAAAGTTGTGAAAGAATGAACCGCCAGCGCGCGAACACGAGCACTATTTATGACACGAAATATTTACATAATAAAGAAGTAGTTTAATTCAAGTGCACTCATTCGGATCAAAACAAAACGATCGGCGCTCGAAGTGATAAACTATTTTCGCTTTTGCTCTTCGCAGTGATTACAACAACTCGTCCAAGATCCATTTTTAATTCTTTTGCGACGCTCTTTAATCCTAAAAACATATTAAGGCTAAAAATACACCGTGAATAGAAACTAAATCCATTCAAATGATTGCAGTTTATCGATCTCGAGTTCATTCATCTCAAGACAACGTAAACAAAAGGATACAAGATCACAAGTCTGTTCGCGCAAGGTAGCTTAATTACACTATTGTCCAAGTCTTTTGAAGTACCTTCCGCAGTTCCTTTGGTCTTCTTCCAAAATATCTCACCTTTTTCGAAACGAATAAAACCGAAATCATTCGACACGTTTTCGGCAGCCACCGAAAGCAATGCCCAAAGGAATAAACCGAGCCTTCGAGGTAAAAAAATCCAGCGGTGTCACCCATTTCAGAAAGTCACAAATAATCCGGGCTGGAGTCGTAATGGTAATTTGAACCCAGACAGCGGGCTTCATCACAGCATTAAATCCTCTTTCATCGCTCTTTGGAATTTCCTGTCGTTTCCAGTTTCACAATTTGTGACGAGCTTGGAACGGCCAAAACTGAATTTTTCATAATTTAGCACTTTTCTCTATTTACGGTAATGATGGAACTACAATTTTGAGAAGGGGTGTAATTATAAACTTAAAGAAATATCACTGAAAAAGGTTCAAAAAGGAATCCTGTTGTAGGAAACTAAAAATTAAGGATAATGATCTGTTTATTTCAAATAGCTGAAATTGTTTTCTTGCCAAATGTTTTTTATACCCACATTTGGAAGCTCGGTAAATTTCATTTTCGCTTGATATCAACTACACAGAAATAGAGGAGTCAAGGGTGAATATCCAATTTATATCATGGAATGAAAGCCAAACTTAATTTATCCATGCATTAAGTATAATCATTTCTTACCTTCAAAGATCCAATGTTGTTTGGTGCCCAACTTTAGTGTTATTGAGCCAAATGCGTATCCTTTTATCGCTGTCTGGTAGCTATGGTTTTCCTTGTATGAGTTTTTATCTTATTTTCTACCATCAGTTTATACATTAATACAAGTTGAAAGACTTGAATGGCTACCCATGCACAAGACGTGTTAATCAACATTGTTTTCGTGCATAAAGCGCCTTAAGTCTAATCAGACAGGTGCTTTTAAACAATATTGCGTGATGTGTTCTAGTTAAACAAGAGTTTTCATTGAGACATACACCCTGGGGTTGTTTAGTGCGATTGAAAATGGATCCCTCTGCGTCTCTAAGATAATTAACAACTCCCGCAGTCTCAACCACTCAACACAGAAAGTTTGTTCGATCGGGAGTTAGGAACTTTATTCCTCTATCATTTATTCCACAAAAATACAATTTTAATTACTTAAACTATCAAAAAAAACTATTGAAAAAGGCCGATCGAAATTTCTTCGATTGACAAACTTTGCCATGAGCATGTTTCGCAATAATAATAATAGAATATGTTGGGTTATTTTTCACTTGGTCGAAATATTCCATTCAAAGCTGCTTTCTTCCTATCTACAAAATTTTAGCACGTTGTTTTGACTATAGCAGATAATAGCGGCGTATTAATTTGGATGTCGATTGCAAATGATCAAAATGTATTCTTAGCACCATGTTTGGTTCTAGCAAATTGCAAGATTCCAGGCTTTATTTTCGTGTTATCTATGAGGTTATATAGAAATTTGCACCAGCTCTAAATTCTTTGAAAAATTTAGCAACACAGATCTTAGAGCGAGTGCCAAAGTGTACCGCCCGAACCTTGCCGCCGTGGACTATAGCCTTCTCCGAGCGCGAGAAAGCGTTCCCATATTTGCACCTTTACTAAGGCACATTCTGCAAGCCCGGGCTACCTAGAGGGTCTCAATGGGGTTAACTGTTAGCCGTAACACGGCCAAAAAATTTAGCCATTAGTAATAAAAATTGACACTGATTTTAACCGTTATTCGTAAAAAAAGTACACCGTAAAAAATATGTCTAGTGGAAACAATGGAAAGGTGTTAACCGTTAGCCGTAAAACCCATCACCCCATTGGGACCCTCTACCTATGCCTAAGTCGTTAATCTCTTATTCGGTTGCTAAATCTCGGAATATGACTCAAGGTCTACCTCAAAATCCCTGTCTAAATCTTCTCGGAGCATTTTTCTTTAAATGAATTGTTAGTTTTGATTTCGTTTTAGGTCATAAAATCAAAAACATTTGCAAAAAACAAAAATGAGAATCGCTGTGAATCTGTTTTAGCTACCTGTTTTCTTACTCCGCCTCTGGACACTGGTTTAAAACTTCGAAATAATGAAACTGGGAATAAAACGTCATTTTTTTATATTCTATGTATATGTTTTCGAATTTGACGGCAGTGTGATTTAGGCCAGGGTGTGCTATACTTGTAATCTGTTGATCCCGGGTTCAAACCCCCACCATGCTACGCTCTGGATTTTTTTTCGTTTGCCCTGTATTCCACTGTCTGGCTGCACTTTGTTTATAGCCAACCTCAGTTACTTCCTCATCTCTTACAACATATTACCCTTATTCATACGACGTATTACCCTTATCAGACACTTTGGTCGACTGATATGGTCAATAATTATGGCGTAAAAATGAACAACACGAAATAGATAACTCGCGTCCCGTATTGCAGCTATCTAATTCTTTGATATCAGTCTCTTTTTTTTTTTTTTTTTTAAGTTTTCAATAAAGTCTACGAGTCCTCAGCTTCTACGTTCGCTATGAATGATCAACTAAAAAGGTTCGAAGTAAAAACGAAGGAATGGTAAGAGGCTAGCTTTGTTGGCTCAGTTGGGTTGCGGTCAGCTGAGCGTGTTGCCAGTAGAAAACGATCATATGTAAATTTCCTTCTGAGTTGAAAACAAACCTTTTGAAGGTGCTTCTTTGTTTACATGTTTTTTATGATTGCAGCGTGATCGAAGGAAGTTTTACGGACTAAAATGTCCCTGAGTGATTTTTCCTTCCTGTAAGATACAATCGACGGCTGGTTAAAGATATGTGTAAGTCTAAGCTGCCGTTGAATGATGTGCCAGTGTTTCATGAGAACCTTTTTAAGATTCGGTGTCGCCGGGTTGTAAGTGGTAACAAACGGTAAAATTTTTTTCGTTGTTTCTTTCTTTCATTGTTATCTATCAGTCTTACTTGTTATCTTATTAGTGGTCGTGCGAAATGGTGATCTGTTTGTCCAGAATATCAGTATTTCCGATTTTTTTCCTTTCGTTTCCTGGTTTTTTTCCTTTTTATATCCTTTATTTTATACTTTTCATAGTATTTGCAACCGCTGTTACGATTACTTAAGCAGAACGTCTTGTGAACTTCACCATCTTCCATTGTAGGATCAGAACCAACCAACCAGCCTGCGGGCCAGTCTGTACCACATCATTTCATTTTTTGTCCTCATATCTTCTCCACGCCGTGGGGAAAAAATGAATAGACAAATGGATAAATAAAAAAAGAAAGCTCGACGGTTTCCGAATACCGGTCAGAGGTCAGATTTTTTGGTGCAACAGCTGTCATATCTCAATGTGCATGTCCGCTATAGCAAAAATGCGCTGGCGGAGTTAAACGATTGCATTGGAAGCTTGTTACATTAAGGTATACTATCAGCATGATCTCACTTTAAAAAGAGGAATTGATAAATTGTCGGGAAGGTAACTCAATCATAGATGAAGAGGTTTGTTGACAGCCAATTTACCCTAAACAGAGCTGGGAGTTCGATCATGAAATCTAAAGGACTAAATCTGTATCTGGTTTAAACACAAAGACGGGGTTACCAGGATACCCACAGTCGAAACGTCCAAAGCACTATGGAACCCAGAGTTGTATTTTACATTTAAGAATCTTAACTTGCAACTCTCGCTACATCATACATCATTTAAGTTATTCTGGAGTGTTCTCCTTCCCTCCCCCACCCCCCCCCCCCCCCCTCTCTCAAGTAACGCATTAGAACGTGTGTGCTGGGTGAGCTTTGCAAGCAAAGAACGTAACGCAATAAGACATTTGACAAAATTTAGTTGGCAAGTAGTTCAACCCCTTGAACCTTAGGAGTGACTAGTATTCAATTTCTCCTTACAATATCAGCCCTGAATCACACATTATGAGGTCATAAGAAAAAGAAATGGACCATCAACTAAAGAGTATATTGACTGTTGAACATATTCTCTTTGTCAGCACCTTCGGATTAAAATGTACAGAGACCAGCGTCGACAATATGTATACTGATAAAGGGTTATAACGTAATCTAAAATAACACGCTATTTAAAAGTTTACCGAAAGTTGTGTCGGAATCTTTTCAGGCAAATGATGTAGTTCAAAGACATTAAACTCACAAAACTTTTTGGGTGTCAATTGATAAGTGTTTGACGGCCTGTGTATGATGCGAAAAGAATTGATCTCCTTTGATAAAAAGGAGCTGGCCGGGTCAGTTTCCCCAGCTTGAAGTAGGGTGCAACTAGTATCTAAGAATGGAATTAAGTATCCACAAAAATCAGAAATAACACATGAGTTGTAAATGTCATGAACGTTCTGTATTTAAACATATCATTAAAGGCTATTTATATCTAAGATTTTCAAAGCATGCACAATATCAATTACCGCTTACAAGATAAATTACTTCTGGGATGAAATTACCGAGTTAAATAAAATAACTCTTATTTTTACGAAATTAAAGATGGAGATACCAAGATCGAGGAAAAAAATCATAGGTTCCAAAGTAATTGTTTATTTTCCATTAATTGTTTGTCTAGCCAAAGGTCATTTAAAAGCGTATATGTGTTATACCAATAGCTCACCCTTGAAATCCTATTACTGGCGTTTTACTACCCTAATTTTGTAAGCAGCTGGAAAGCGAGTGAAACCACTTTCTCCTTTAAGATCCGGGAGATTGCCATCCTCTGATGGCAGAAATGTAAATTTATGTAGCATCCAGGACAAGAACAGGAACAGCTCCACCTGGCGTGAAACGAAAGAAAACAATATACAAAACTTTTGTATTTGTATTTGATAAAATAATGAAATGATGTTTATAATAAAGATAATAATAATATTTATAATAATAACAATAATAATAATAATAATAATAATAAAAATAATGTGTCTTGAGAAGCGGTCTTTACAAGATTCTATTAAGAAGCATTTCAACAAACATCGTTTTTGGACAAATTTTCTTTGTATAAATTCTTAGGGGGTAATTACAATTAAAAATAACATATCCAAATGATGCATATAGACATGGGAAGAAGGTCTTACCTTTGCCAAGGCCTCGCCAGCACAAACCCGGCGTCCAGCTGAGAAGGGCAGAAAATTGCCAGAGTTGGTGATAAGTTGGCCATCAGAGTCAATATGGCGACGAGGGTCGAATGAGTTTGGGTTCTCCCAAAGGCTTGGATCAAGATGAACGGCCATTAGGTTGGTCATCACAACGGTATCCTTCGGAACGCGATAACCGGCCAGTGTAGTATCACTTAGAGTGTAATGTGGAATAGCTACCTCAGCAACATTTCCGAGGCGCAATGTTTCCATAATTGTGGCCAAAACTAGAGGAAGTTTTGGACGATCATCTAGGCCTGGCATGCGATCTCTTCCAACAACTTCGTCCAGCTGACTCTGTACATCCCTCTGGCATTCAGGATGGTGGACAAGATAGGCAATGGCCCAACGTAGGGTCGTACTAGTAGTCTCATAGCCAGCACTAAACATGTCTCCCATGCTATTGATCATGTAGTCGTCTGATAGGATGGATGCTCTCTCCTCCGCACCAACCTCATTCGCAGCAGCACTCCTCTCTTTCAGAAGACCTTCGACGAGACTTCCGATCTCCGCGTTTGGGTCGAACTCATTTTCCTGAATCTTTAACTGCTGGCGGAGAATTTCAAAGATTCGGTCCGTACTTTTCTGCACTAATTTGTAGGCACGAAATGGAAGGTACTTTGCAATCGGAAAGAAATCTAATACAAAAAGTTGATTGCTTGCTTCAATGTCGGTAAAAGCCTCGTTATTCAACTGCAAGAGTTCCTCAAAATCTGGATGAGACGAGTCGAAGTGCTTTCCGAATGTGATTCGACATATCACATTTGCAACGCTCTCCATGAAAATCTTTCCAGGGTCGAAGTCATTTCCATTTTGATCTTCAAAGTACTGCATAAGACTCGTCGCCTGCTCGGAGATCCTATCTTCCACCAATTTTTGATCGGACAAGTACTGCCTGACAGCCGTCATAAAGAGCTTACGATGAAATCTCCAGGCTGGACCATAGTTTCCCAAAGCAATATCCTTTCCACCTGTAGAGAGTCATAAAGCCGTGAAGAGAAATTCTAAACAAAAGTATCTCTTAATTTTACAAGTTCTTGGTGAATTAGCATATGGCACTACTCTGTTTAATGCATTTAAACAGACTAGCACCATTACTCTAAAGATGAAATAGTTGTGTTTTGTCATTCGGATACGTACAACGAGGCGCTTTGTGCCGCGCTTAAAATTAAGCATCTTGTTTTACAAGTTTGTCAAATAACAACAGTTGACACAACTCTTATTAGCGTATTTAACCCTTTGACTCCCAAGGGTGACCGAGACAGAATTTCTCCCAACAATACCAAGCAGAAATGTAATGGGAATAAAGAAAGATAATATGCCAAATAGGAGATTATCATTGATCCGATACCAAATTATTCAATAATAATACCCAAAGAACTGTATGGCAAACAACAATTAAGGAGAATAACTAATGAGATCTAGTATCGTTACTGCAAGAAAAACTCATCCTGCTTGGACCATTTAAGCTCGTATGACGCGGTATCTGTCGTTTTTACTACTAATATAGCTCAGCGACAGCTATAAACAAACACGGCAAGGAAACAAATAAACATGGGTGATTGATCTTGTAATAAACATTTGTAATTAAGAAGAAAAAATCTGTACGTTGAACAATTTACCAAGTGTTTCTATCATATAGCTGTGAAATGGAGGTCTTCCAGCATAATCAGCCGATTTTTTGACGAGTACTTCCTTCACAGATGCTGGATCTTCGGCAACTACGAGTTTGAAACTTCCAACCTTCATAGAATATACTGTGCCGTATTTTTCCCTCATGCTACAAAGAAATGGAATATTTAAGGTTTAAGAAGGCAAAAAAGGAGGTGGAAATCAAGAAACTACCTAGTGAAGCAATACAGTGTGTAAGCTGTGTGTTGTGTGACGACCAATTAACCACATCAACTTAACGATATGCAATAAAGGATAACAGATCATTTGTTCAGTGTATTACAATGACATCACTCGCCTGCGAAGGACCCAGTTAAAACTAATCAAAATAAATTAATAAAAGACCAGAAAACGGCTCGGTTTTTGCATTTTAAAGTAAACGACTATCAAGCAAGCAGATGTAGCTAGACAGTGTTTAGTTGGTAAAAAAATATGAGAGGTAAATAAGGCAGTTACCTACTTTGAAGCGCTAAAGTGATTATTACAGCATAAACAAACCTTGCTGTTACTTCACTGAAACTTTCCCCTGAATCAAAGCTCATCAAATTTCCTACTAACGGCAAGCTTGTCAAACGAGGTCCCGGTGGCATGCTTCTAAACTGATAAAGCTCAATCAGTTGATTGAGAATCAGTAACAAAACGACAGCGAAAACAATATTCCCGAAGGTCAGATATTCCGACAGCAACAACTCCATGGCTTGGGATGAATGATGAAAGATAGCAAAACTCGTCTATCTTAAAAACGTTTGTTCTCTAAATCACGAGATTGTCAAACGACTCTCATGCCATTCTCCCAACCAATAGTGCTTGAGAAATAAAAACGACGTATTAAGTCATCACGGAGACAGCCCACGCATAATATGGTCGACTGAATTGTTTCAATGCCGGAACTGAATAATAAACATACATTACTTTCTGTTTTACTTGGGACTGACGTCATCGTTCGATTAAGGCATGGAGCACCAGAACTGACTTCGTAATCGTAAATGAGTGTGCATAATCTCGAAAGGCGATTTCAAAAGAGCAGATTTAAATCAGGTTTTTGTAAGATGAAAATGAGGTGAGACTGAACTCACGCTTAGTGATTATGATAGTCCGTTCATCACAACACACGTCCAGCAGCTGTTTTTTGAGTTACGATCAAAATTGCGAATGTTTGCGGAACTTTTGCTATGTGTTAGTTTCATTTTAGAAAAAATCATAACTCATTCATGGAACTTCATAGAAATCATAGAACAGCGTTTGGTTAGCAGAGCATTCTGAGGTATGTAAAAAAATTAGCTTTAAAAGACGTGAAATAAAGCGTTACTTGTGGTGCCCGACTTGTATACCAGATGTATAATAAATAGACACTTTTGAGGTCACCTTTGAGACTGTCTCGTTGAAAAAATGAAGAAAGAAAATATGTGATAAAATTGCTCGCCAGAATGCAAATTTTTGTACACAGTGTAGAATAGGAAACTTTCACCTTAAAAAAAATAATTACCAGAATCTGTGACGAGCCGAAATTTGCCTAATGCCTGCGTTAGTTGATTTATTTGCGTAGCTTCATGACGAAGCCAAACAATTCAATAAGTACTTATATGCATGAAATATTTAATCCTTTGTTCAGTGTTTTCTGATTCAGTCGACAAATTTTATTCAACTCTCTTGTAAAGGACCCATTTTGTCTGTCCTACTGTTTGCAAAAGAATCCGTAACAATTTCAAAGACCTAACAATACGGTGAGGAAAAGAAGTATCAAGAAAGTGAAACAAGCGAATATGTAGCTAAAAAACAATAAAGAAGACATAGAAATGGTTAAAATTTTAATTCAAAGAGCTGTTAGCGGACAGAACTAAAAATGATTGGAAAAATCAGCTGGAGTAGTTAACAATGATAAATGCTCCAGAGGTATTATAATCGTAAACAATTAAACCTAGCTGTTATTTCCCCGAAACTTTCTCCTTAATCAAAGCTCGTAAAATTCCGATCAACGGCAAACTTGACAAACGGTCCCGGTGGCATATTTCTGAACTGATAGAGTTCAATCAGTTGATTGAAAATCAACAAGAAAGCAACAACGACACAGATATTCTTGAACGTCAAAAATTCTAACAGGAAGAACTCCTGGCTGCGTTTAATGATGTGAGACCACCTCGTTGATATTGAACACTTTTGCACTCTGAAAAACGAGAGCCTTAAGCGGCTAACACGGCGTTTTTTACCATAAGCGGCTAACACGGCGTTTTTTGCCAATAACACTAATTTTGATATCGAGCATCAATTCTAATAAGAGTCGGCGACGCACAATATTCAGCTGCTCCTATAGCGGACCTGATGTATGTACATAATTCATTTAAAGCAACCTTTGTTGCTTTGTTTAGAAGTTTCTATAACCGGGATGCCAAGGGATTCTATTTGTTTATTTTTTTTTTCTTATTTGAACAGACCTTTTCCTGTACGAGGTCCCAGGTATGATCAAAGCTCGAGAGCGGGAACATAAAAGTTGTAGTAGACACGTTAACTGTCAGACGCAGAGAACTTGCAAGACTATCTGAGTGACAAATTTCGTGACAATTATAGGGGCAAATCAAATCAACGTCTGAAATATGACGTGTTGATCCTGTATTCGTAATTTACCGTGCTGATACCAGCAGGTAAATTGGAAGCGTTTAAGGATCGAGCAACCACGGAGTGTTAAGTAAGTCTGATCCGAAGGTGAGCCCAGGTCAGTTACCTTAGGTTAGGGCAATGTGCAAATATTTTGCGCGACCATCTTAAGCCCCTCTTAATGCCAAATGTCAAAGTATTTCAATAGTAATGTATTTGTTACAATATTGTAAGGTGGTCAATTGATCGATTCATTGGGCCAAGCTGGAGTGAAAGAAACGGCAGGAGGAGAAGACGGAGAGCGTTTAGACTTCCAAGAGGCTACTAGTCAAATACGAGCGCAAAACCCGGCGATGATGGAATCTTTTAAGCGTTAATGTTGCAATTCACTACCTGAAAAGGGATTATGGGTCAAGCGATCAAAATCTGTCCCAAGTGGTGTTGTTAATGTTTTCCCTTTCAGAAAGTACATGCCAGTCGTACAACAACGAAAAAATAAATAACGATATTACTCGCAAAAAAAATAGACCTCTGCGTTATTTTAATTATAACTGTATCCTAAATTTACTACGTAAGGAAACAGGTTCTGTATTCAAACCTCATTTAAGGCTATTTTTATCTAAGATTTTCAAAGCATGCACTATATCAATTACCGCTAACAAGAAAAACCACTACTGGGATGAAATTACCTAGTTAAATGAAAATAATTCTTATTTTCACGAAAGATGGAGATAGCAAGATCGAGGAAAAAAATCATAGCTTCTAATGCCATTGTTTATTTTCTATTGTTTGTATGTTTAGCCAAAGGCTATTCAAAAGCGTATATGTTTCACTCCAATAGTTTATCCTTAAAATCCTGTTACCGGCGTTTTACAACCCTAATTTTGTAAGCGGCTGGAAAGCGAGTCAGACCATATTTTCCTTTCAGATCCGGGAGATTGCCATCCTCCGATGGCAGAAATGTGAATCTATGAAGCATCCTGGACAAGAACAGGAACAGCTCCACCTTGAAAGAAAGAAACAAAAATGCACAAAAATTTTGTATATGTATTTGAAGAAATAATTCAATGATACTACTACTACTACTAATAATAATAATGTGTCTCGTGAAGCGGTCTTTACAAGATTCTATTAAGAAACACTTCAACAAACATCGTTTTTGGACAAATTTTCTTTGCGCAAATACTTTAAGGGAACTAAAATTAAGAACAACTTATTCAGGTAATCATAAAAGACAAGAGAAATAAGTCTCACCTTTGCCAAGGCCTCGCCAGCACAAACCCGGCGTCCAGCCGAGAAGGGCAGAAAACTGCCAGAGTTAGTGATAAGTTGGCCATCAGAGTCAATATGGCGACTAGGGTCAAATGATTTTGGATTCTCCCAAAGGCTTGGATCAAGATGGACGGCCATTAGGTTGGTCATCACAACAGTATCCTTCGGAACGCGATAACCGGCCAATGTAGTATCGCTCAGAGTGTAATGTGGAAGAACTGTCTCAGCAACATTTCCGAGGCGCAATGTTTCCATAATTGTGGCCAAAACAAGAGGAAGATTTGGACGATCATCCAGGCCTGGCATGCGATCTCTTCCGACCACGTCGTCCAGCTGACTCTGCACATCCCTCTGGCATTCAGGATGGTGGACAAGATAGGCAATGGCCCAACGTAAGGTCGTACTGGTAGTCTCATAACCAGCACTAAACATATCTCCCACGGTGTTTATTATGTAGTCGTCTGATAGGAGGGATGCTCTCTCCTCCGCACCAACCTCATTCGTCGCAGCAATCCTCTCTTTCAGAAGATTTCCGATGAGACTTCCAATCTCTACTTTTGGGTCAAACTCACTTTCTTGAATCTTTAACTGCTGGCGGAGAATTTCAAACATTCGGTCCGAAATTTTCTGCTCTGATTTGTAGGCGCGAAACGGAAGGTACTTGGTTATCGGAAAGAAATCTAACACAAAAAGTTGATTGCTTGTTTCAGTGTCAGCAAAATACTGGTTATTCAACTGAAAGAGTTCCTCAAAATCTGAATGAGACGAGTCGAAGTGCTTTCCGAATGTGATTCGACCTATCACATTTGCAACGCTCTCCATGAAAATCTTTCCAGGGTCGAAGTCATTTTCATTTTGATCCTCAAAGTACTGCATAAGCCTCGTCACCTGCTCGGAGATCCTATCTTCCACCAATTTTTGATCGGACAAGTACTGCCTGATAGCCGTCATGAAGAGCTTACGATGAAATCTCCAGGCTGGACCATAGTTTCCCAAAGCAATATCCTTTCCACCTGAAGAGAGTGATATGGCCGTGAAGAGAAATTTTAAACAAAGTATCTCTTTATTTTACAAGTTATTAGTGAATTAGCATATGGCACTACTCTGTTCAATGCATTTAAACAGGGTGGCACCATTCCTCTAAAGATAAAATCATATGATTGCGTCTTGTCACTTGGACACGTACAACGAGGTGCTTTTTGCCGCGCTTAAAATTAAGCACCTTGTTTTATAAGTTTGTAAAGAAACAACAGATGATGAAACTGCAATAAGCGTGTAAGTCTCCTGGCCTTTAATAACAACACCACAAACCAAATTCGAATGAAGATTTATTGAAGCCGACGTGCTTGGTACTAAGAGTGTGCATAAAAACAGCGTGGGTTGAAACTAAAACGGTAAAAAAGCAAAAAAGTTACAAGTTGCGACTAAGGTAAATTAGAGTAAGGAAATAACAAAACTGCAAAACGAGGACTGTGAAGTACACTTACATTGTTTCGGCCAGAGAAAACTGCTGAAAGCGGACTGCGAATAACGCGAAGAGACTTGCAAGGAACTAAAACAGAACTGCGCTAAGCGCGAACCAAAATGAACTGCCCAAACTGTACTGCAAAACTACGATATCAAAAATACGCTAGAACATGCGGAAAATAAAACTATAGAATCTAAGAAAGGCGTTAATGAACATGAAACAACACAGAAACGCTAACGAGGGCGCGAAAACTGACAGAAAGGAATAAACACCTAAATTAACGCCAAAAAAAAAGACTAAACAAATGGACGAAAAGAAGTATAAACTAATTTGCGTACGCAAAGGAAAAACAAATTACGCAAGAACGAATAATAGAAAAAATGTTACACTTGGATCTTACAGATGACACAACTCTGTTTCGTACATTTAACCCTTTAACTCCCATGAATGACCAAAACAGAATATCTCTCAATAATATCAAGCAGACAAGTGTTGAGAGTGAGGAAAGATGCCAAATAGGAGATTATAATTGATCCAATATTAAATCATTCAAACTAACATCCAAATAACTATATGACAAACAAAAATTAAGGAGAATTAACAATGAGATCTAGTACCGTTACTGCAAGAAAAAGTCGTCGTGCTTAGGCCATTTAAGCTCGTAAGAGGCGGCATCTGTTGTTTTTAGTTCTATTATATCTCAGTGACAACAAACAAACAATCAAGGAAGCAAACGAACAGGGGTGATTTATCTCAAAGATTTCCATTAAGTAGAACAAATCTGTAAGTTAAACAATTTACCAAGTGAGTCAATCATATAGCTGTGAAACGGAGGTCTTCCAGCATAATCAGCCGATTTTTTGACGAGCACCTCCTTCACTGATGCTGGATCTTCGGCAACTACGAGTTTGAAACTTCCAACCTTCATAGAATATACTGTGCCGTATTTTCCCCTCATGCTACAAAGAAATGGAATATTTAAGGTTTAAGAAAGGCAAAAAAGAGATGGAATCAAGAAACTACCGCAACACAGTGTGTGAGTTATGTGTTGTGTGACGACCGATTAACCACACAAACTAAAGATATGCAAGAAAGGATAACAGATCCTTTCTTCGGTGTAATTGATTTCATGTTTACAATAATGTCACTCGCCTGCAAAGGACCCAGTTTAAAAATAATCAAAACAGATTAATAAATGACCAGAAAACGGCTCGATTTTTTAATTTAAAAGTAAACCACTATCAAGCAAACAGATTTAGTTAGACAGTGTTTAGTTGGTAGAAAAATTGAGAAGTAGATAAGGCAGTTATCTACTTTGAAACGCTAATTTTACAGCATTAACTGACAAACCTTGCTGTTACTTCACTGAAACTTTCCCCTGAATCAAAGCTCATCAAATTTCCTACTAACGGCAAGCTTGTCAAACGAGGTCCCGGTGGCATGCTTCTAAACTGATAAAGCTCAATCAGTTGATTAAGAATCAGCAAAAAAACGACAGAGAAAATAATATTCCCGAAGGTCAGATATTCTGATAGCAACAACTCCATGGCTGGGGATTAATGATGAAAGATAGTAAAACTCGTCGATATTAAAATCGTGTGTTCTCTAAATCACGAGATCGTCAAACCACTCTCATGCCATTCTCCCAACCAATAATACTAAAGAATTAAGTCATCATGGTGACAGCCCACGCATAGTATGATCGATTCAACTCTTTCAATGCCGGAACTGAATAGTATATATACATTATTTACAATTTGACTTGGACTGATGTCATCGTTCGATTAAGGCATGGACGGCACCAAAACAGACCTCGTAATCGTGAACGAGTCTGCATAATCTCGAAAAGTGATTTCAAAAGAGCAAATTTAAATCGCGTGTTTGCAAGATGAAAATGAGGTGAGACTAAACTCTCGCTTAGTGACTATGATAGTCTGCTCATCACAACATATGTCCAGCAGCTGTTATCTTTAGTTACGATCAAAATTGCGAATGTTTGTGAAACGTTTGTTAGGCGTAAGTTTTATTTTGGAAAAAAATCGTAACTCGTTAATGAAATTTCATAGTAATCATTGTTGTCAACAGGGTATTCTGAGATATTAAAAAAAATGATTAGCTTTAAAATTCGTGGAATAAACGCTTTATTCAAGGTGCTCGATTTGTATACCAGATTTACAACAAATTGGACACTGTTGTGGTCACCTTTGAAACTGTCTCGTAAAAAAACTAAAGAAAGAAAATATATGATAAATTATTCACAAGAATGCAAATTTTTGTACCTAGTGTAGAACAGGAGACTTTCACCTTAAAAAAAAAAGAATTCCCAGAACTGTGACAAGCCGAAATTTGCCTAATACATTCCTTAGTTGATTCCTTCGCTTACAAGCTGCGCAACACTGGCTCAGATGTCAAATAGCCAACTGCATCCACGTTCAAGGCGGATTTCAAAGCTGTAGACTTGTGTCAGGTGCTGAACAGACAGTAGCATTGAGCAATGAATATTAAGCATAGTTCTTACCCCTAGCTAAAGATCACATAGTTACTCTCGCGCTCCATGGTAAGAATGGGTTCTAAATTCGGGAGTCAAGGCCTTAACCCTTTATCTCCCTGACCAAATTTATCATTCTCCTTACTGTCAACCATACAATTTTTATGATGTTAGTTCTGGGAATTTATTATTGGATCAACTAATTATCCCCATATTGATATTTTTCTTTATTATTCTCATCACTTATCTGGTTGATATTGTATTGATGTTGTAAAGAGAAATTCTGTCTCGGGCACTCACGGGAGTTAAAGGGTTAGAACGCAGTTACGAGTGATCGTTAAGTGGGAATGATTGTCTGTAGCTAAACAGAACGCAGGGATGTCGGAACAGCAACAAAGATGATTTATTCCTGATGAATGTAGTCTTCACAGCTGACAAAACTCTGAGACAACTCGTCATAGTAAACACTGATACACGGCCTCTGCCAAACTTCGAATAACCACTACCGCCGTTTAACTCAACCTCAGTCACACTTGAGTGAACTCAACTCCGTCACACTACTTAGCTTGTCAAAAAAACCAGTCATGCATCTAGTTACACAAATTAACTTGTATGCTTAACAGCATGAGATTCTCTAACTTTTAGGCTAACCTAATTATAGTAGCATTCCAACATGCAACTATTTACTGCATCTTACATGGAGCTGCCGATACAGAATGAAAAAGGCAAACAGGAGTAGAATGGGAAAAGCAAAGCAAAAGGCCTGATTTAGGTTCATGTTTATCACAATACGCACAACACGCACCAGAAATAAAATCTGATCAACTGTGTCTATTTTAACCTATTTATGTATTTCGGTAGTGCGACCCAAAATTGTCACATTTTTCAGCACTTCCCGTTTCAGTTTCAACTTTCCGAAAATTTTTTTGCCTGTTTAATTTTTGGTTTGGGCTGTTGTGCGACGTAGGCCATACTCACGAAACTTCAAGATTGTCACGCAAGTCACGAAACAATTTATTGTAACAAGCGCACGCATTAATGTTTGCAACTTCTCACCCTCAGAGACTGACACAGAATACACAGAAGAGGACAAGGTACTGGTAAAGAATGAAAGGGAAGCGAAAAGGCGCAGAAACCATAGCCACATTTCGTTCCTAAATTTTACTATTGATTAAATAATATTGTCTCTGACTCATAATACCGTAAGTTCAATACAAAAAAATTATTCAATACAAAACAACAATAACAAACAAGGTTTGACTCTGTAAAATCTCAAAAGGGTGATATTAGTATTTTGAGTAATTTCCAGATTATCTTGCAGTAATTCACAATCGATAGGACTTAATCACACTCACTTTGTATTTCAGCACAAACTCACCTTTGCCTTTTTTTTTCTTTAAAAATGAGAAGGGTGACATGTGCAAACCAAACATTTATAACATAATTCATTAGCTACAATGATTGGACATTAAAAAACAAACCTAGATCTCCCCTGATGTAAATTTAAATAAACTAGAACTAAATTATATAAAGACTAGTGATTTCTCTAAGTTGATGGTTCAGGTCTGTGATATAACAGCACATCTGTGAAAATGGACTCCAAAGAGATACAGATTCCCACGAAGTACAAGAACCACAAT